CCAGATGTGACATCCCAGGTCAGACAATGTACTCTAGGTGTGAGGCCTTGTTTAGAACTTGGCTGTGAATCAACTTGGAGTCAGGCTGGTTTTATTTCCAAAGCAGGAGTTTATAAAACGCCACAGTGACTGTATAAAATATGTGTGCTTTTTGAACAAAACAGAATGTATGTGCAATTACAAATGTGAAAATGCAAATTCACCCCATAGATTTATATGTGTGTGTGCGTATGTGTGTGTACATATGCACACACTCTCTCTCTCTCTCTCACACACACACACACACACACACATAATTCATAGGGTGAATTTGCATTTGCTACCTCTCTCACTGACACCTGAAGAAGCAGCGAGACTCCCAAAGCTTGTGTCTTCAAATAAACCTGTTGGACTATAACCTGGTGTCGTGTGATTTTTGACCTTGTCAACCCCAGTCCAACATTGGCACCTCCACATCATGCAATATGGAAACATGCCACCTGGTGGCGATGCTGTCTCACCTTTCAGGCTGAACACTGGTCTTTGTAATACTTCACCACCGCAGTACAGTCTTGGACTCTAAACATTCTTCACTTCACCCACAATGAGTCGCTTGGATTGCCAGTGCGTGTCTACATACCAGTGGGCCCAGATCCTGAATGTCTGGGGAGCAGGATACTGACTACAATAAGTTCGCAATGATGGATTGTGTCAAGGCATTTGTTTCTTTACTTTATCTCGTATAAAACACCCAACAGCAAGCTCAGCAAGACTTAGACAATAAATGCATGTTTCAAAAGGTGGTATAAAAAGAGACAGGAATTTTTACATAATTGAAAACCTTGCTACCTTCAAGGAAAGGTGTCAGTAATGAATTTGAAACTGCCATGGGACATTCCGAGTTTCCGGACATAGTGCTGTGTCTGTTGTCTTAAGGTGGAAATTGTTAATTTACAATCGATGCACTTGATTGTCAGGTGTATTACCAATTCCAGGCTTTTAGGAATCTAATTTTAAAATGTGAAAGGTTTTCCCAACACGGATATCAAAGTGAATTGGGTCAGAGCAATGATACAGCAGAGCAATACTGCGTCAGAATAGTTCCCCCTGAAAGAGGGCACTTGGCATTCACACTCCAGTGGGAGGTCTGTGGGCCAACTTCAGAATCTGCTGTTTATTCACTGGTTAGCTGTAGACTTTATACAATTTAGCTCAGGGCAAAGCAGAAAGTGAGTTTTAAATCATATTCACAACTTTGGATTAGAACTGCACTATCCAGCACAGGGACAGGCCCTTCAGCCCACAATGAGTTTCTTAGGTCTTTCTGCAAGTTTCTGTTTATTTTAGTGCTCAGATGCTGCTCCTAAGCTTAATCAATCAAGCATAGTGATCATAGATCAATCAACAAGCCAAATACAGATCAATTAAACCATTGAACACTGCAGGTCAGTTGTAACCTGGAATGCACCAAGGGTTTTAGAAATTGCAATGGATTCCTTTAATGGATCTGCTGGTTAATGGATCCATATGGTTCCTCAATGTCTAGCCAGAAGTGGACACTCTGCTGCTGGCATTGCTGGCTGCATTCGCACCTCTTGATCTTCATGACACGCTTCACAATGAATCCTCTGACCAAGCAGTGGAAACGTACTTTCATGGTCCTGGTCTCAGCAGGGTAACAGCAGCGGCCATCTGTGCACAGGCCGCAGTACTTGGGCTTGTATTTCCTCAGGCTGGTGCAACCTTCGTAACTAAACAACTTGGGCTCCATCTCCTTCAGGCTATTCAGGCACTTCTTGCCTCCCTGTAACACAGAAGGAATTGGCCCATAGTGTGAATAAGCCAGGGTGAAGATTGCTTAAATAGGTCAGGGTCCTCTTAAAGAATGTCATTGTGTTTACAAAACATCAATCTAGTTTTCAAATCTCTCCTTGAACTGCCCCTCCCAGATCCCAGGCCTATCTATAATCTCCTCCAATCCTATAGCTTCCTGACAAACGATGTGGAGGTGCCGGTGTTGGACTGGGGTGGACAAAGTCAGGAGTCACACGACACCAGGTTATAGTCCAACAGGTTTAACTGAAATCACAAGCTTTCAGAGCACTGCTCCTTCATCAGGTGAACATCACATTGCAGTTCAGCCCATCACATTGATCTAGAGCAGTACGTCGCAGTATAAGATACCACATTGATCAATGCGTGATGGAGCTGGCTATCACACAGATATAAAACTACATATGACGGTTCAGAACGACCGTCATGTGTAGGTCTAGAATTACACTGTCATGGTACAGACAGTCACATTGACCTAGTTCTGTTCATTACAGTTCAGGATTCCACATTAATCTATAACTATACATTACAGTTCAGGTTACCGTATTGGTCCAGAGCAATACATTACAGTAAAACTGTCACATTGATCGAGAAATATACAATTATGGTAAAGGTTGTCATATTGGTCTGGAAGTAGTTCAGGATGCCGTGTTGATCTAGACCTTTACTTTGCTACAAAATCCACAACCATTCACTACAGTCTAGGTTATCATGTTCTAGAGCTACCCATTATAGTTTATTTTGTCACATCGATCTCAAAATACACTTTACAGTTTAGGTTGTCGTGTTGATCTGGGACTATACCTGACATAGAATGCTGCCATGTTAATCCAGTACTATACAATACAGTGGAAGTTGTCACATTGTATAACTACACTTATAGTTCAGGCTGTTATATTGATCTAGAACTCAACCTTATAGTGGAGTTTGGCACATTGATCTGGAACTATATCTTAAGTTGCACACTCCAACACTGTAGAGCAAAACATTACAATGCAGCCTTTCACATTGTTCACAAATCACAGTGAAGACTGCCACACTGTTCTAGAACAACACACCGCTGTGAAGACTATCAAATTGATCTAGAGTGGTATGGGACTAGTATAATTTGGGAAAGTTGGTCGGCATGGATGAGTCGGAACAAAGGGTCTGTTTCTGTGCTGCATCACTCTATAACAAAACGTTACAGTGAAGACTGTCACATTGATCGAGAAGAAGACATTACCATATTGCCTATTACATTGATGAATAAGATACTGGTTTGGTTCAACTGGGTCTGCAACAGGGTTCTTCCCTCTGCTAGGACTAACCTGGAGATTGACCTCATTGAGCATATCACAGGGCCGGATCTGGCACAGCCTGGTCTCCCATTTCGGATGGCACCAGGTGTTGTTGGTGCTCAGTCTGGATGAAATTCCCATGCCACAGGTCCGCGAGCATGTCGACCACTCTGTGCTCTTGACCAGGCAGTCAGAATAGCTGAAGCTTTGTCTCTTGAATTGACCTTTCAGCTCTGAAGTAACAAAGAGATGCACAACAGAAACAGCATACACTGGCAAATGCCTCCACATACACTCACACAAATGCATGTACACTTACTTGCAGCATGGGACAGTCACAAAACACACTACAGCATGGATACACACACACACACACACAACACATTTGTGATAATTTCACACACATTGCAGAGATGTACGAGCATATGGAAACACTCACAAACACACAAGGTCTCAGCCTATCTCATTCTCTCCTGCTGACAACCACATACATTTTCAAGAACCTATGAACTGCACAAAACAAACCTGCATAGTTGCAGAGATAGTAGGAACTGCAGATGCTGGAGAATCTGAGATAACAAGGTGTAGAGCTGGATGAACACAGCAGGCCAAGCAGCATCAGAGGAGCAGGAAGGCTGACGTTTCGGGCGTAGACCCTTCCCGAAACGTCAGCCTTCCTGCTCCTCTGATGCTGCTTGGCCTGCTGTGTTCATCCAGCTCTACACCTTGTTATCTACATAGTTGCATGCATGCACACTTACACACAGAGACATACATACACACAGATATACACATGCAGACACACACACAGACATATGCACGCATGTACACAAATACACACACACACAAACACGTACATACGTTGATATACACAGACACAGAAGCATACATATACACAGTTATATACATGCAGACACACACATAGACATATATACATACAGGCACACACACACAGACATTGACATACCCACAAATACATACATACACAGACACTCTCAGTCACAGAGATATACATACACGCATGCACAAACACATACATACAGACACACACATACACACCCCAAAATTACAAATCGTTCATTAGCAACTTCATGCATTTTTTCATCATACTTTCATGTCAGCAGTGAAACTGCCAATATTAATATTTAAGGGATAAATTTGTCAGGTTCAGGCCAAACATTCATTTTATACCCCTCTCCATTTTATGTTTTATTCACTTCTTTAGAGAGTACAATGAGTTTGGGTGTAGAATTGGGATCTGGCCTTAGCCAGCCTGGGTCAGGGTGGGGTGTGGGAAAGGTGTACAAGTTGGTTAAATTTAGGACGAAATTGCTGCCTGCAAACCATGCCCCTAATATTGATTCCGCAACATTGGAATTGATCTCAAAAGGAATCATACTGAGGGGGAGTGGGACTAATTTGGGGGCTTCTTCAAAATAACAGCTTGGAAGGAGGCACCTAGTGGTCTCCTCCTGCACTCTACAATGCCAAGCCTGTGAATCACATCAGATATCTGAGTTCCAGTGATGGGTATGAAGAAGAAATGCTGGGAAGGACGCACTAAAACTTGGGACAGCTGCCATCAGGGCGCAGTGGGGAAAGTCCACAGCCTAAGGTCTTTCCACCGAAAGTTAAATTGGGGTCCGTTTAGTAATCAGACCCTCCCAATATCTAAAATGTGTGTAAATATACTCTTGTGCAAGTAAGAGATGCCTTGTGTTAGTTTGTTGGAAGGAGTCAAACTCCCAACGTTTGCTTCCCAGGAAGGGTCATTCGACCAGAAGCGTTGACTCTGATTTCTCTGCACAGATTGCTAGCAGACCTGCTGAGCTGTTCCAGCAATTTATGTCTTTAGCTTACAGCATCCGCAGTTCTTTCTCCAATGTTTGCTTGTTTCCTTATATGCTACTGTACAGAACCAAACTGCGTTTGTGAATGTATATATAAAGATGTTTTTTTTTGAAATGAATAAAGTTTTTTTTTAAATATATAAAAAAAACCAGGGAAGCCAAAGAGGCGTTTGACATCTAGGCCGTCAGCGTTCAGGCTCTTGTGTTTTGTTCCCAACTTACGGTGCACTGCATTTCGCGACTTCACCGCTTTCCCGGGGCCGGCGGCAAACTCCTTCCATTTGGCTGGCGCCCATCCCTTGTGGTCCTTGGAGAGGGGTGTCAGGCACTTCCATCGTTCGCAGCAGGTGCCAGCCACCTTGACGGGCCGAGCGTCCGCGCAGGAGGCGGGCGGTGCCGGCAGCTTCCCGGAGCAGAGCGGGGAGCATTGGGCCCTGCCGTCCTGGCAGCTGCACTGCAGCCGGCAGCTCTTCATGAAGCTCTCGCCGTGTTGGAGTACCCTGCCGCTCAAGAAGCAAGGCCGTCCCGGGCTGCTGGCTGCAAGAACAAGAAGACATTGAGGAAAAAGCCAAAGAAGCAAGATTTTAAAAACAAAAACTCATTTTGGGCCAGCATTTATTCCCCCATCCTTAATTGCCCAGAGAGCATTTAAGACTCAGTCACGTTGCTGTGGTCTGGAGTCACATGTAGGCCAATATCCTTCCCTAAGGGCTATTTGTGGATGTTTTTTTCCCCCAACAATGGACGTACATGGTCATCATTAGACTCTTAATTCCACATTTTTATTTGATTCAAATTGAAAATTTCACACTGTCTACTAGGGCACGATTCGAACCAAAGTCCCCAGAATGTTACCTGGGTCTCTGGATTAATAGTTCAGGGGTAACACCACTAGGCCATCACAGCCCCTGTCTCATTTCCCCAGGGACAGCAACTGCTGAGGGGGAAAGAAACCGCTTAGCAGATCTAGCAGCATCTGTAGACAGAAATCAGAGTTTTGGGTCCCTTCCTCAGCACAGATGCTGCTATTCTGCTGGTCCGAGGAAGGCTCACCGGACATGAAACGTTAACTCTGTTTTCTCCTTCACAGGTGCTGCCAGACCTGCTGACCTTTTCCAAATTTTTGTTTCAGATGCTGCTACACCTGCTGAGTTTTCCCAGCAATTTCTATGACAACTGGCCTGTTTCTAAGGGGTGAGGGGATATGTTTTCCGCAGGAGTGTCTGTGTTATATTGACAATGTCAAATTGATCCCCTCCTTTATGATCCGTATGGTGGAAGGGTAGTTGGGAAAGTATGCTGATCCCATTGATGTGCTGTTTAAATGCCCTCAATGTGACCAAAATCAAACCTGTTCAGGGACAGTATCACACATTTCAGGAGCAGGTGAGACTTAAACTGGGCCTTCTGGACCAGAGGTAGAGACACTACCACTGTGCGACAAGAGCACAGTGAATATGATGCTAATACGTTTTTAAAAATCAATAATTTTTATCGTGATTATAACAAGGTCGACTGGCTGGCCCTTGTAGAATATGAGTTCCCTGATTGTGACGGTTAATCTGGTCCAATCAGGGAGCCCTGGCTGATATATAAAAAGGGGGAGTGTCAGAGATACTGCCACTGTGATAGCTGACCCTGAAGAGGCAGTACTAAAGGCAAGCACAGTTCATTTGTAAATAAAGGGTGACTTGGTGACAGGATACTGGCCTCTGTGGAGTTATTTCACTTTTCAATGCAATGAGTCTGGAATGATCCTCCTGGGTGTATGTGGAGACGGATTCAATGTGGGTAATCAAAAGGACCTGAGATGATTGTTTAAACAGAAACAGGGTTAAAGGGGGCAAAGAGCAGAAGGATGGTCTGAGTCACAATGCTCATTCGGAGAGTCAATGCAGACATGGTGGGCCGAATGGCCCCTTTTTGCCATGTTGCGTTGCTGTCATTCTGTGAATACCCTCGGTTGATACTGTGGATCTGTAAGTGCCTTGAATGCCTTCTGATGTGCTTGGTTGTGTGAGGAGAAGGGAAATTTCTTAGTCGGGGGCGCCAAGTTTCCTCACCTCTGCAGATTCCGGTTGTGGCGTTTGGTCTTGCTTCCAGTTGGCAGTGGAGCCCGCGGTCACGGTCGCACGGTCGAAGCAAGCTGCAGTCCTCATTGAATTGCCGAGCACAAACTGAGCAGCAGCCGCAGTCATCCAGAACCAGGGGCACACTTGGACGGCATGGCACAGGCTTTGGGCAATGACACTGTGCAGCGCATGTCGCCTGTGGAGTAAAGAGATTTTTCATGGACTGGACTAGACCCCCTCAAAATATTTTAAAAAGATAGGCTAGACCCTAACTTTTTCTTATTTTAGAACGAATGTAATGTGCTGTGTTCCAGGTGCTATTCGATTGGTCAAACTACTTGACGTTAAGCAAAACACAATTTATTTAAACACTATAGTTAAAATACAACAGAAGAAGGAAGATAACTTAACTCTATTGGAAAACTTAACAGAATAATAGATACAGTAACTATTGCTAATTAACTGTGAGAATATATTAACATCACATAAGCGCACCTCTTGGCAAAAATGCAAGTTCAGAAAAATAGATTTGTCCCACAGGTAACATAGCAGCAGAGAGAAACCCCAGCTTCTAGCTGTAACTGACAGAGGGAAAAAATACCTTTGACTTCTTCAAAATTCCAGCAGCTTCTGCCCTGTCAAGACTCCAAAAGCAACTGCTTAAAGCTAAGTCTAAAACTAAAAAAAGACTAGAAATACTGGTCTGTGAGAGCTGGCCACACCCATCCAGGCTGCTTCTATTGTTCCAACTTTAAAAAGAAACCTGAGGCGTCACAAGCTGTTTACTGGCTTTCCAAGTAGACAGCTCAATACCTCTGTCTTAAAACCTCTCTTTTAAATAAAAAGGACAAACTACACCTCTTAAAGCCACAGCATCATTACAGATTCCACTGTCATCTTCCTTGCTGTTTGTTCAATCTCCAGCTTCACCTGAAGAAAATAAGCCCTTATTCATATAGCACCTTTCTCTGTTGTGACAGAGAACTTGACGGTCAATGAAGCAATTGTGGGAGAGCCACTGCCGTAATGCAGGGAAGTTCAACTGGCAATGGGGGCACACCAGCAAGTAAATGATTAGCCATTCTCTTTTCAGTGACTTTGCTCTAGGACTCTATGCATAGATGTTGGAGGCAAGGCCACTCCCTGCGCTTCTTAGAATTGGTGGCTACTTGACCATTTATAGCCTGCCTCTGAGCGGAGATAAAACTACAACTTTAGTTAGAAAAGATGTCATGTCATTGACAGTTGAATGTTCCCTCAGTACTGCACTAGAAATATGAGTTCAAATGGTCTGGCCAGCATTAGGTAGTGAGCTATATAGAGATTAACAATCAGGGGTTGGTTAGTTCAGTTAGCTGGACAACTTTAGGAGTTAATCTCCAAACAATGCAATCCCAGGTTTAATCCTGCAAAAATACCTACCTCTTCCCAAGTGTTATTCTCTTAAATATCTTACTCCCATTATGTTACTGTCTAAACATCTCCCTTCCAGGTATTATGCTCTAAGTAACTCATTCCCAGGTATTATTCTCTAAATAACTTCCTCACGCCACCAGCTGTTATCCTCTAAGTAACTCTCTGACAAATGCTATTCTCCACATACTTTGACCTTGGAAGTTAATCTCTGAATAACTCCCTCCATCCAAATATTATTCTCTAAACATCTCATTCCCTCCCAGATGTTTTGTTCTATGCATACCACTCCTCCTCCATGGGTCATCTTATAAGTGACTCCTTCCCAGGCATTACCCTCCAAATGATCCACTCCAAAAGAAATCATGCTCTAACAACTCATTCCCAGGTTAATGACACCCCCATTTCTTAGGTGCTGTGTTTTAAATAACACCCTCCCGACATACATTATTGTCAGAATAACTCATTACCTCGGATATGTACTTCCTTAATTAACTCAACCCAAGCGCTTTTCGCTAAATAACTCCAGTCCAGTTGTTGTTCTGCATGTGTTTTTCATATTTTCAAAATGTCACAGTTCTAGGTGTTACTCCATAAGTAATTCCCTCCCTCCCATATGTCATTGGGTAAATAACTCACTCCTGGTTGCTATTCTCCATATAACCCATCCCAGGTGTTACTCTGTAAATAACTCACTTCCTCACAGATGTGATTTTCTATATGAACCACTCCAAGCCATTATCCTCTGTGTAACTTACCCCCTCACAGGCCTTATTGTCAAAATAACTCGCTCCTGGGTGTTCATCTCTAAAAGGTCAATCCCTGGTATTATTGCTTAAATTACTCCTAAAGGATTTATTCTCTGAATAACTCCCTCCCAGATGTTAATCACTGTAGAACTCACTCCATTTTCTGTAACTTAATCGTATTCTTTATTAGGGTAAAGTTGTCATGGTCCCAGAGGGGTACTCTGTCATTAGAGAGAGGGACAACTGGAAGTGCTTTAACCTAGGTGCTATCATGCTTCACACAAGGAGAGATGTTGAGAAGGAGAGTCCTTCTTTGTAACCTCAGCTGATGCAGGAATTGAACCCATGCTATTGGCATCCCTATACCTCACAAACCAGTTGTCCAGCTAACTGAGCTAACCAACCCCTGAAATTGTTAGCAAAAACAGAAGTTGCTGGAAAAGCTCAGCCGGAATGGCAGCATCTGAAATTCTTGATCTCTATATAGCTCGCTACCTGTTGCTGTTCCCTGCATAACTGGATTTGTGAAATTATTTACCACAGAGAGTTGGAGAGGTTGGATCATTAAGTACCTTCAAGGTTGAAATAGATTTTTAATGAGTGAGGTTATGGGGAAAAGGCAGGAAAGTGGATTTGATCAGCTATGATCTCATTGCATGGCAAAGCAGACTAAGTGAGCTGAATGGTCCATTTCTGCTTCCACATCTTACGATGTAATTCATTCCAACCCTGTATAACTATGGGAGTTGTTCCACATATTACTCACTTCTTCAGAATGCTATTTCCCATATCAGTGAATCCCAATCTGTTATTTCCCATACTATTCACCCCCAAGTTCTACTCTTACATATCTCAGTCCCAGTATGTTCTTTCCCGTCTATTTCATTCCCAGACTTAATTCCCTGTCTACCTCACTCCCAGTCTGTGCTATCATTCTATTGCTGGGAATGACAGAATTGCAGGAGTCACATATTCTCTCACCACATCAGCGAGGCTGGATTGTCCCAGCAACAGGAGATACCCGCACCACAGTGCCAGGCTGCTGCCAAGTCTAATACCACAGCGGCCCCTCTTCATCCTGGAGCCCAAGGCTGTTGGAAACTTGTTCATCGCTGAAACTGCAAATCACACAAAAAAGAAAAGATTCCAGCTGTTAAACTTCAAGACAACAGCAACAAATTGTGTGAGAGGGGCTGGGGAACTGGGGTTTGGGGTGTGAACACTGACTAATCTTGGCAACTGCATTGCGATGGAACTCCCCGAAGAGTGAAAGCAAACGGAAGTTGGAATTTCACCATTTACTCTGAGCAGTGGTCTCCACCCCAAGGCTGAGGGATTATCCCGCTGTCTGGTGGCAGAAGGTCAGAAACTGCAACTGAGTACTGGCTAAGTAATTAAAAAAAAGCTTACTCTGTCCCAAACTTCCAAAAAAAGCACATTTCACATTGTTCTCTCTGAGACGCAGATCATTAGGAGTACTGCTCCCACACTCAATATGAAATTCCCAATGTTTCCTGTAGATTATCTATGTGTGTCTGCGTTTGTTTTTGATGTGCCTATTTATTTAATATACATGCCCAGCTTCTCAGATAAGGTGCAAAGAAAGATAAACCAGTGGCTACAATTCCTGGAGCAATGCTGACTCAGCATTCTGCAGTCAGCTTCTCAGAATAATTCCTGGCACAGCTCCTCTCGGTTCACTGGAACTTTTGTTGTTGCTTTGGCTCACACCGTTTTACATTACCACTGCTTCTTTTTGCAATACATCCAGAAGAATGAAAGGGAATGGAGGCTCCAAAGCACTTTACCACCCGTGGAATCATAAGAGTGGTCATATCCCAGAAGGAGGCCATTCAGCCTCTCTCGAGCCCCTACCAGCTCCCTGCCACAGCAACACACCCAGTCCAGCTTCCTTGGCCCTCCTTCCCTCAGAGTCCTTTCTCATCAGGTGCCTGTCCAGTTCCTGTTGGAAAGCTCAATGGAATCTGTCTTCATCACATTCTCAGGCAGCACATTCCGAATTTGAATCGCCTCACTCTGTATGTAAGGAAAACGCATCTTTTGGTTCTGCCAATCCCCATTAACCCATGTTCTCTGTTTTTTTTTCATCCTTCGGACAATGGGAACAGCGTCTATCCATTTTTTTCTGTCTGGAAACCCCATGATTTTTTGAAGAACTGTACTAAGCCTCTTGGTTGTTTCTTTCCCCCCACAAAGAGAACAGACACATCTTCTCCGATCTAACAATGCTGTTGATTTTTTTAAATTTCAAAAATATACTTTATTTATAAAAATATCTTTATATATTTACATAGTCACTGAAGCAGTTCAGTCGCATATGAAGTAGTTCAGTAGCATATGAAGAAACAAACAAATATTGGCGTTTGACACTATCGAACAAGCAAACCAAAGGTGTTTCTTACTTGTACAAAATTATATTTACATGCATTTGAGGTACCAGGAGCTTCCAATAACTGAACGAGCCCCTGACTAACTTCAGCAGAAACACCTCAGACAGTGGACTTTCCCCACAGCGCCTTGGCGGCAGCTGCCTCAAGCTTTAGCGTCTTCTCAGCATGTAGTCCTGGGCTCTGGAACACTCTGGACAACCAACAAGTTTCACGCAGACCAAAGAGCATCTTTCACCGACTTGATGGTCCTCCAGGCTCAGTTGATGTTTGTCTCGGTGTGCATCCCAGGGGACAGATTGTAGAGCAGAGAATCCTGCATCACGGAGCTGCTTAGGATGAACCTCAACAAAAGCCATTGTATTTTCTCCAGATGTTCTTTTCAAAGGCACATTCCAGCAGCAGATGTGCGACACTATTCCCCACACCCTATCACCCCACAGCTGCTGTGAGGGGCTGATGTTTCAGTTCCCTGCAAACATCCTTTAATGCACCCCCTCTAATGCCTTCATATTTTCTCTAAAGCATGCATGAAGTAATTCCCTTTAGAGTCAGAATTGTAATGCAATGCTGGGACAAAGTGTTCAGACATGCTTCTGTTCCCGAGTCAACTAGCTGTATCTACCAGAAACAAACTCAATATCTGGTCAGAGGGAAAAAAAATAATCAGTAGCCACTCACCAGTCATCTTGCGTCCCTTCTTGTTGGGCTCAACAACTGAAGACTGCTTTAGTTCAGGAAGGAAATTGTATTTTTTCCAATCGCTCAGAGCTCCTCCTCAGCAGTTGCCATGACGTTATTGATGTTTACGCCATTTTATCAGATTTCCAAGAAACCTCTGTGTTTGTGCCTCCTTCTATTTTCCACACAGACTGAAAGGTCCCTCCAAACACCTGTCCTTTTTCTACTGTTTCATTTCTCCTTCACTTCATGTGTTTTGTTGTGACCATATGTACACCTGCTTTGCTCAGAGAACAATGCTAAGAAGTGGAAGGATTCACCAGCTGATTAATAGGTTGACACACTATGAAATAAATGCTTAGAGCATCGATTTGGAATTCCTTTTCCATTTCTCCATCGACTTGCCTCACTTTAAGACACTCCTTAAAATTTATTTCTTCAACCAAGCTTTTGGGTCACCAGTCCTAATATCTCTTGACATGGCACTGTGTCAAATTTTTGCTGAGATGCTGCCAAGAAACATAAAGGTGGCCAGTAAAAGCTTCTTTACGTTTGTGAAAGGTAAACATTGGCTTGGACAAACTTAGGCCTGTTACAATGGTGAATTTATGGTATAAAATAGGAAAATGATGGACACTTTAAATTTTTTATCTGTCATCACTGGAAAAGATGTGGATCATCTCCAGAAATACTAGATGACCAAAGGACTTGTGAAACTGAGGAATTCGTCAGCCTTCCTGCTCCTCTGATGCTGCTTGGCCTGCTGTGTTCATCCAGCTCTACACCTTGTTATCTCAGTATTAGTAAAGAGATAGTTTTTGAAATGTTAGCTGCATTGAGCATTGATGTATCCCCCAGACCAGATTATTTAGATCTCAGTGTTGAAGGAGGTACCTATGGAGATAATGGATGCATTGGTGGTTATCTTTCAAAATTTTATAGATCTGAAAAGGTACCAAATGTAAACCACTATTTAAGAAAGAGAGAATGAAGAAGTATAAACACTGATATCAGTCATAGGGAAAATCATAGAATCCCATTGAATCGACACCAAGCCTCCAAAGAGCATTCCACCCAGACCCATTCCCCCACCCTATCCCTGTAACCCTGCATTTCCCATGGCTAATCCATCTAGCCTGAACATCCCTGGACACTATGGGCAATTTTGCACGGCCAATCCAACTAACCTGACATCTTTGGACTTTGGGAGGAAACCAGAGCACCCACAAAGACACAGGGAGAATGTGCAAACTCCACACAGACCATCACCTGAGGGTGGACTCACACCTGGGTCCCTGGAGCTATGAGGTAGCAGTGCTAACTGCTGAGCCACTGTGCCACCCTTAGAATCTGTTCTAAGGGATGTAATAACTGAACATTTAGAAAACAATGGTAGAATTGGGCAGGGCCAATATGGATTTATAAGTGGGAAATCATATTTGACAAAGCTTTTGGAGTTTACTGAGTCTCATACTCACAGCATAGATAAAGGAGGACCAATGGAAATGGTACATATGGATTCTCAGAAGGCTTTTGATAAGGTCCCTACAGAAGGTTAGAAAATAAAATTAGAGCACATGGGATTGGGAATAAACTAGTTTGGATTATGGGTTGGCTAACAGACTGAGGGAGTAAGAATAATTGAACCATCCTCAGATTGGCAGGCTGTTATTAGTCGGGTACAGTCAAGTCCAGAACTATTCACAATCTATAAAAATGATTTAGACATGGAGTCCAAATGTGATATTTCCATATTCGCAGATGACTTAAAACTGTCAGGGAATGTAAGTTGCATGGAAGGAGATTTCAAACGGACTTAGACAAACTAATTGAATGTGAAAAAGTGTGAAGTAATCCATTTTAGTAGAAAAAAACAGAAAAAGTGAAAATATTTATTAAATGGTGAGTGGTTGTAAGGTGTTGGTGTCTAAATGAAATTGGATTTCCTTATTCCTGATTCACTGAAAATAACAGCAGGAGCAACAATCAAAAAGGGAGGTATTGGTACTTTGCATTTGAGTACAGAAGTGCAGGTATCTTCTATATAGTACAGAACCTTCCTGATTAAACCAGGAGTATTGTATACATTTCTGGTCTCCTGATCTATGGAAGGAAATAATTGCTAGAGAGAGAGACAGTGCAGCAAATGTCCACCAGATTAATACCAAGGATGGTGGAAAAATGGTAGTATTCTCCAGAGTTTTGAAGTAAGCAAGGTAATCTCAGTGAAACCTTACAAAATTCTAACACAGTGAAAGTCTGCCCTTTCGCAAATTGATTCATGGTGTGTGGGTGTTCATTTATTGCCCATCCCTAATTGACTAGATGACAGCTATAATCAACCACATTACTTTGTGGTCTAAAGTCACCTGTAGAACAGGTAAGGCTAGCAGATTTCCTTCCCGAAGGAGATTAGTAAACTAGATGTGTTTTTTTTTTAATGACCATTGACACTGGTTACCTTTATTATTCCAGATCTTTATTGAATGCAAATCAATCCATCTGCCATGGAAGTATTCAAATCCATGTCCCCAAAACATTTTCCTGGGTCTGGATTACTATCATAGAATCCCCACAGTGTGGAAGCAGGCCATTTGGCACATCAAGTCCACTGACCCTCCGAAGAGCATCCCACCCCATCCCCTCCCCACCCCCCACTTACCTCTGTAACCCTGCATTTACAATGGCTAATCCACTGAGCCTGCAAATCCCTGAACGCTATGGGCAATTTAGCATGGCCAAACCACCCTAACCTGCACATATTTGGACTGTGGGAGGAAAACCACGCAGACATGGGGAGAATGTGCAAATTCCACACAGACAGTTGCCTGAGGGTGAAATCAAACTCAAGTCCCTGGTGCTGTGAGGCATTAGTGCTAACCACTGAGCCACCGTGCCACACCAATGTTACTAGACCAGTAACGTTACCATTACTCCACCATTTACCCTGTCGGTGAGTCTAAGATCAGGGGACATAATTTCAGAATAAGGGGCAGGATATTTAAGGCTGAGAGGTGGAGGAATTTCTTCAGAGGCTGGTGAATCTTTGGAATTCTCTACCCCAGAGATTGAGCAGATTCAAAAGACAGATTCCTGGAGACTAGCACAATCAAAGGATATGGAGTAGGCATTGATATCGGTGATCAGCCATGATGATGGGGCAAGTTTGATGGGCTGAATGAGCTACTCCTTCTCCTGTACTCCTATATTCCTACAATTGTACTCCTGTGAAGCATCTCAGTATGCGTCGCCATGTTAGTGGTGCTATAGTAATGCAAACTCCTGTTGCTGCCTCACCTGGCAAGGTTGGACCTTCAGTCGTGGCGTCTGCCTGGTCTTTTGTAGCACCGTGGCTCACTGACTAACCCAGTAAGTGGAGCGGAGTGGCGGAGATGCGCGTGTGCCCCCTCACACTCAGCCTAACTGACAACCACTGTCTGGTTTTGAGCATGGAGTGCAGCCATGTGGGTTGGGTCGCAAACTGTAGTCAGTTTTTGTACAATGTGGCCCCATCATGTCTCAGCCCCTTCAGAACAGGAGGGCAAGAGGAAGCTGGAAGAGCCAAGTGCCAACCCTCACTTCCAGAATTCAGGGCACCAGACACACTGACAAATCCTTTAGTTCTCCAAAAATATACTTCATTCATAAAATTTGTAAAAGTACCTCCCAAAGCATTCACATTGAAACTGCAGAAGGGGCAATAAGATTTTCTCCGTACTGCATGTTCCACATTGAGATACACTTGCAATACTCTTACATTTGCTGTACATAATCCATGTCAGGCCTGAGGGTTTCCACACCGGCGACTCCATTCTACACTGCATGTTTGCTGATATCTGTACAGAGTCCCTGAAATTGGAAGGAATGTGTTCTGTTGATACACAGTTTGGTCAGTCGCCCTCCCTCTGAACCTGATACTCACTGTTGGACTGAAGCTGCACAAGGCTGATTAGAGAGAGGAGACTGCGATGGGACAAAGAGTTGGATTAGGGCAGCAAGGGAAAGAGAAAGAATCTAATTTTGACTCTGCTTAACAGAGTTGTGTGGTCAACAGCCAGTGGGACAGCCCACACCACAACTTTTTAATTTTTTTTTCTTCTTTCCCTTTTATTTATTATCTATATATTATATATAAAAACACCCATTTGGCCAGGGAACCAGTAACGAGCAAAGCCTGATGGGGGGAATGCTTACTTGAAAAAAATGTGAAGGGGGAGAGTATGGATCAAATCAAAGTAGAATTGGAGGGGAAAATAAAGTACTCCAACATCCCACTCTCCCTAAAGGCATCAAGAGCAGTGGTGGACATTGCATGCTCCCTCTCTAAGGACACCCAGACTAGAACATAGCCACAGAAGATGGGCAGGGAGTCAGCCAAAATGACCCCCTCCACGGCCCACTGCACGGACCTGTTTACAGCCAGAAAAGAGGAGGGGAAGTGAAAGAATTTGGAAGGCCATTCAGTCCAGAAATCGTCCATCATTGTTGAATCTCATTGTTTCTTCATCAGTTTCAGTGTTAGTTTACATTATGCTGGGAGATTGTTTGAAGTTTCAATCAATGCTTGTATCTCTCTGTATAACAAATCACTCATTGACAACAGTCCCCTGTTTGCTTTGTGATTTTTGACCTGTTTCATTTAATTTCACTGACTGAGTTTAATTTGAGGTATTGCTCTGAGCTTATCTTTTATGTTTGCAGAGTTTCTTTGGACACCTTCATGAGATAATTTCTCGGCACCTTATTATCCTTAGTCCCACCTATAAATCCTGCCACATCCAATTGTGAATGGTGGTGGACAAACAACAGCTAATAGGAGGAAGAGGAGGTTTCACACATATCCCCCGTCCTCAATGGCAGGGAGCCTAGCTCATGATGAAAAAGACAAGGCGAAGCATTTGCTGCCAACTTCAGCGAGAAGTGCCAAGTGGATGACCCAGCATGGCCCACTCCTCTGGAGGTCCCTAGTATCACAGATTGCTAGCTTTCGGCCAATTCAATTCACTCCATGTGATGACAATGGATGCTGCAAAGGGATTGACAACTTTCCTGCAATAAGACTGAAGACTTGTACTCCAGAACTAGTCGTGCCACTACTCAAGTTCTTCCAATGCTGCTACAAACTGGCATTTACCTGGCAATGTGCAAAAACTGCTCAAGAATCCTGTCCCTTCAGTCAATCACTGCCCCATCAATCTTCTCTTAATGTTGTGATAAAACAACTGATGAAAGTAGTCATCAACAGTGTCATGGACCAGACCAAACCCCCTCAAATATATTCAGAATATAGCCTCGACATTTCTTATTTTAAAGGCAAGAGTAAGGTGTTATGTTTCAGATGCAACTTGATTAGTCAAACTACTCGCTGTTAAGTAAAACATACTTTATTTTTACACTACAGTCAGAATATAGACAAAAAAATTGGCTTAACTATAACTCTATCAAAATGCTTACTAAAATAATAGATATATTAACTACTACTAAGTAACTGTTCCAATATAGTAACATCTCATGAAAACATACTTAGCAAAGGCAAATTCAGTAAAATAGATTGTCTTGCATGCAATTCTCCAGTCCAGGAGGCAAAACATCAAGAGAAAACTCTGAGAGAGAGAGTAGCAGGAAGAGATATACTGCAGCTTCCAAATTCCAGCTTCAAGACCCCAACAACTGCTACTGAAGAACTAAAACTAAAAGTCTCGGTTTTGTGGGAGCTTGTCCCCACCCATTCAGGCTGCTTCTATTGTTCCAACTTACAAAAAAAAACCAAGGCCTCACAAGCTGTTTACTTTATTGGATTCAAATAGACTGCTTGACATCTCTGTGTTAAAACCGGTCTTCAAAAATAAACCAGGACAAAACAGATTGCTTAAAGCCATAGCATCATCACAACA